GGCGTGGGCGTGGGCTTGCGCGTGGGCGTGGGCGTGGATGTGGGTGCGGGCGTGGGCGTGGGCGTGGGCGCGGGCGCGGGCGCGGGCGCGGGCGTCGGTGAAGGTGTGGGTGCTGGCCTGCTGCCCGCCCCCCCCGGGCGTGAGCGTGGACGTGGACGTCGGTGTGGGTGCTGGCCTGCTGCCCCCCCCTCCGAGGACGGGGCACACATAGGCGTTGATGCCAACAACAACAGCAACAGCAACAGCAACAGAAGCATCAACAACGCACCAAGCAGAATCCTCACCACGGATCCCCACTTCAGCCACGCACCCAGGGACAATGAATGACCGCTCGGCCCCCTCGCTCTGATGATTCTACGAGTTGGGCTTCTTGATTACGCTTTTGAGTGTATCTCTCTTGATTGTGCCCATGGGGGGCATGCGCGCACGACGGAGTGAGGGCCTCATGAGCCTCGCTTAGACGCTTGAGTGGAAATTACGGTCGTGTCAGCTACCGTGCCGGATCAAGTCGTACGATATGCGCAACGCATTCGGCACTGGTCACACTTCTGAGCTGATCGAGACACAGGGCTGAGAGGTGCAACGCGAGACACTTCAGGCAGATGCTGAACACGCATCGCAAGAAGACGTTGGTTTGGTGACGCTTCAGATCGATCGCAGCGCGCGCATGCGGCCGACCACTGGGGGGAGGATGGGCGACTCGAATGAACCCCAATTCTTCATGGTCCTGCCACTCGGTGGAAAAACGCAGATCTACGAAATCAAGGGCCCGCTCCTCCAGGCCTCCTGCCCCGTCACAGACGAATGGCCAGCGAAGGAGGACAAGAAGACCATCTAGGGCAAGGGCGGAGCACGGAGCAGCGGCGGGGCCCAGCGGCCCCGAAGGACGAGGCCGAGGGCGTCGAGCCTCCGCGCAGCCGCCGCGGGGGACGTCGTCGTGGAGGGCAGCACGCGGACAAGCAGTGGAGCTCCAAGGGTAAGCACCTCTCGGGCCTCCTCCCCCTCCTCATGCTATGCGAGCTGGTGCTCCAGAATACGCGCCGCACACGGATGGCGATGGCGACAACGATCGGCACGATCATATCTTCCAACTCTCCTCCGATCATTACCGCGATCGGGAACGAGACCGACAGCTCCCGCAACGAGTTCGAGAACGCTCGCAAGTCCACGGAGTCGGCCACCCTCCTGAAGTCCCTGGGAACCCCGACCGAAAGCCTCGGCGTGGCGTTCATGGAGGCGCTCGCCCTGTGCAACGTGGGAGCCAAATCGAAGACGGCTATGACGGAGTGGCTGTGCAAGGTCAACGGCAACGGGGACGGGGACGAGTCCATACTCGAGCCCCTCGTATCCTGGGAGGACGCCGAGGAGAACGTGGCCCTGCTGCGACTGGATAAGTGCAACAAGGAAGCGGAGACGAAGGTCATCATCGCGATGAAAGGGTGGGACATGAGGAGCGTGATGCTCGCGGCCGTCAGGGACGAGAATGAAGGTGTGATTCGCAAGGGGGGGCCGCCCTAGAGTGGCTAGAGGAGGAGTTGTCCACGGGGGCCGACGTCTTGTCGAAATGAATGCATTGAGCTGACCAACACGATTCGCTCGCTCCAGCTCCCTTCCGCTGTCGTCGCGTTCTCTCCCAGCCCGCCAGCAGGCTCCGTACAGTAGCGACGAGGAGTCTGCGCGAGTGCGCGCAGGGCAGCAGCAGAGCGTTGAGCTCAGCAGGATCATTTGAATAGGAATGAGGAGATCGCACATCAGGGTGCGAGCGATCAGCTTGTGAATAACACGGATGCCGACAAAGAAGGTGCCCATGACTTCAATTTTTAGCCACCCTCGGCCTAGCGTCCGCGCTCTGCTCGCCGCTCGAGGCCCGTGTGCACACCGCGCTTCGCGAGCTTTAGCCCCTTGCTAGCCGCGGATACTTAACACATGGTGAATATGCAATCAAAACTGTTCATGCCCGACTGCCGCTTCTGGTGTGAAACTCAGCACAGTGCCCCCATATGGTCGTATAGATGTAGAGATGCATACATCTGTCTAGATCTAAATACTAGAACCATCGCGCGCGCTTCGTTCGCGTGCGCTCAAGTTCTAGCTGGGCTCGACAGACTAACGCATGGAACCTCAATTGTTGAAGTGCCTTGTGCACCGAACGACCTTTCGGCTGCACCAGTCTCGGAAGCGTATAGAATGTGAAATGCGGAAACCACGAGGTCCTACATCTCCTTGAGGTGTTCGATGAGTTGGGGCCCTCGCAGACTTCTTGGGATCTTTGGGGTACGTTTGACAAAAAATGGATTCCTTTTTTTTCAAACTGCCATGCTTGGGCCTGGGTCAGATGATTGCCCTCGGGGCCCTTTTGGCGGCGTCTTGGAGGTCGTTCGGGGCCTCTTGTGGAACCCTTGGTGCCTCCTGGGAGCCTCCCGGGACTCTCCGCAGGCATCTGGGGGGCGCCTCGATGACCTCTCGGACAGGGCTGAACCTAAGCGGTGTTTTTCATTTTCGTTTTGTTCTCGTTCTCCCTCGTTTTGTCTTCAATCCGCATTTGGCGCAAAACGAGGTCGAAACGAAAACGGCCCACGAAATCACCAAAAACACCGTTTGGGTCCAGCCCTGCTCTGGGAGAACCTTGGGGCCACCTCGGGGCAAAGCGCTCGTCAGGCTTTGCGAGGTCCCCTCTTTTTTCCTCTCTTGGCGCGCGCGCGCACTGACGCTAGCTGCGCTGGACAGGTGCACTCCCGGATACAGGCCATGGTTTGTCGGGAACTAGTTTGGAGGCCCCTAGGGGGCTGTTTTGGGGCCTCTTAGGGCCACTGTTGGGCCTCCTGAAACTCTTTGGGGGGCTCTTGGGGCCTCCTGGGGGCCTCTTGGAGCGGAAATCCGGGATTGTCGATGTGCGTTCCCCATATTGGGTGGCTTTTCGGGCCATCCTGGGGCTCTCTTGGGCTGCCTCGGGGCGCTTTGGGGCCGTCTTGGGGCCTTCTTGGCCCGTCTTGGAGCCGTCTTGGAGGCTCTTGGGCAGTCTTGGGGCGGTCTTGGGGGCCTTTTCGGCCGTCGTGGAGCGGTGGAAACTCGAAAACGCGAGAAGGCTAAACACTTAAAGAAAAACCGTGAACATGATTTGGCCTCGTCGGGCCTCTTCGGGCGCTCCCGGGACGCCTCCCGGAGGTCTCTTGGGGCCTCTCAGAGGCCTCCTGGCACTCCTGGGAGCCTGGAGAGCCGTCGGAAGTTTGTCTTGGGCTGCTTGGGAGCATCTTGGGCCGTCCTTGCACATTCTTGGGGCTCCTTGGGGACGTCCCGGGCCGTCCTGGGGGGTTCTGGGGCCTCTTTGGGAGGCTCGGGGGCTCGGTACCGGGAACTGCCCACAGATGTTCTGGAGGTAAGGAACGCTCCCGGGGGAGGGGGGGGCGTATGCATGTATGTATGTATGTATGTATGTATGAATGTATGTATGTATGTATGTATGTATGTATGCATGCATGCATACATGCATGTATGTATGTATGTATGTATGTATGTATGTATGTATGTATGTATGTATGTGTATGTATGTATGTATGTATGTATGTATGTATGTATGTATGTATGTATGTATGTATGTATGTATGTATGTATGTATGTATGTATGTATGTATATGCATGCATGTGCATGTATGTATGTATGTATGTATGTATGTATGTATGTGTGTATGCATGCATGCATGCATGCATGTGTATGTATGTATGTATGTATGCATGTATGTATATATATATATATATATATATATATATAGATGTCTATACCTATATATATATATATATATATATATATATATGGACGGATATAGGTTCTCTGACCGTCGCCGTACTAATCGAGGGGGCCCAAGAGGCTTGTAGGGTGTTTTTCGGAAGCAGTTGTGACCCTCTTGGCGGCTGTTTTGGCGTCTCTTGGGGCCGTTTCTTGGCCCTCTTGGGGAGCTGGGGCCTGTTGGGGGCCTCTGTGGGGATCCTTCGTGCCTCTCGGGGGCCGTTTTGGGGTCCCCTTGGACCGTCTTGGGCGCCTCGTGGCCCGTCTTGGGGCCCTCTTGGGCCGTCGTGGGGGCCTCCTGAATGCCTCTTGGGCCGTCTTGGGGCGATCTGGGGGGCGTGTTGGGTCGTCTTGGGGCGTCGGGAAAGCGAGAAGTTGTTGATGCTGAAACTGTACGTCTAGAAAAAGGAATTGGGAAATGTTGGCCTCTTGGGGCTTTCTTGGGAGGCCTCTCTGGTGGGAAGACAAGGGGACCCCTGGGACTGTTTTGGGGACATCGTGGGGGTCTTATAGCCCTCTTGGCCCAGCTTGGGGCCCTCTGGAAGCCATCAGAGGCCGTTTTGGGCCCTCCAGGCGAGCTCGCGACCCAGCATCCCTCAGCGGAACGAAGGTCTAGCACGATGAGCTTTCTACGTATATAGGAAGTCACCGTAGTAGTCCAACTATTATATATACACATGTATTCCGCACCACGCTCGAATGCCCAAGAGTGCTTTGGCATTGCCGTCTCGGACAATCCCTGAGTACCCCAAAATGGGTCGACGAGATCAAGCGGGATACAACCGGCTCCGACAGGTCCCTGGGTCTCCAAGAGGCCCCCCTGGCGGACCCAGTTGAAACAAACAGATAAGGAAGCCACCTGGTGCCGAGAACGAAGAAGTCTCGGTACAGTGTTGCTAAAGTCCCGGGGGTCGTTCTAGGCCTAGGCCCGTTGGGGCCCAATACGCGAGATTTTGGTGGAATCAGGGTTCTACTTAAATTCGGGCGGTGTCGTTCTACTGTGCTGGGGGAAACCTGGAAACGTCCGTGATTTGGCCACACGAGCGGCCAGGTGCACGAGGAAGGCTACAGCGACAACCGTGCAAAAACCAAACAAAACAACAGGCATTTGACAAACCGGATCTGCTTGTTCTTTCAACGTCATGAATGCGCGCTACCTTCCTGCCCTGCAGGCCCATGCCGATGACCAGCCGCTGCCACGAGCTAGGCTTCTCGCGCACATGATAGCGTGCTCCTTCCAGAGATCCTCCAGCTTGCACACGAAGAGCACGCCACCAGGATCGAAGCGAACCAGCCTCCGCGCGCGCTGTGGGCGCCCTGGCCCAAGCCTTTGGGCAGTCGCCCCGCCCTCGTTGCCAAGACGGGGAAGAAAACGTGGGAGGTAGAAAAGGAACGGGAATCAACAGAACAAAGGCGAAACCAAGGATCTGACATTCCTCCCCCTCTTGTTTTGCTGGGGATGCCTGTCCTGGCAATCGCCCAACTCCTGGTATGTCCTTCCCTTTTACGGGGAAAGAGAAGAGGAACAAGAAAAATATGAGGGGGCTGGGAAAGCGATCGGCACGAGCGAAGGAGGAAAGTGGGGGATGAAGGGGAAAACGGCGGGCGCGGGGGAGAGGAAATCGGGGCGGGAGAAACAGGGGAGGGATGGCGGGGAGAAAGTGGGACGTGGGCCACCCTTGCGTTTCATTTCGGCTGCAACTGGCCCAAAGACACTTCCAAACGTCTTGGCCATCTCCCCGAGCTAGCCTCGGCTGCGGCGATGGGATCCCCGCCGCTGGAGTGGGGAATGGCAGCGGGGACTGGGCAGAAAGGTTACGGTGGCGCTTCAGCGTCGTCGAATGCCTCGAACGCGTCGCTGATGTGAGAGGCCCCTGCGGCGAAGCTGGCGCGCGCTGCAGTTGCGTGCCGAAGGCAAAAAGACTGGATAAACTGCCGCAGCGCAAGTACAACGCGCAGGATGCAAATGCACATCGGAGCGGGCCAGGCGCGGGGGCTTCGCGGGACACGGATGACCCCCCCGATCCCGGAACGCAATGGGGGGTCATGCCGGCAGCGCCGATACCAACATGCGCCTCGGCCAAGTGCTCTTCCCATGTACGAGAAAGAGTCACGCGACCGACGGAACCCGCGCACCTATAATTATTTCTTGTCTAGCCGCTTAGCCTGTGCGTTGCGCCGCAACTTCTGCGCGCGCATAGCAACCGCTGTCTCAGATTTTCATCCAACGCACCATTGCTTGAACCTCTCCCCCTCCCTGTCCCCCAGCGGGGCGCGCTGCGAGGTGGTTGCTGGGGGGCCGTTTCTCTAACGCGCTTTCGTATTCACTTTTGACGACAAGTTCTCGGGCTGAAATGTGTTTCTGACCAACGGCGGTCCGCCCCCGTAGGCCCAAGGGGCAGCTGAATGCCACGGCGAGCTGTCGCCCTCCTCCGACTCCCCCAGCTGATCGGCGGGGAACCCGCCGGATGAAAGTTTCAGCAGGTACCTCACCGAGCACCGCCCCTTGACATCGTCGCCCCGTCCTTGATGGAGCAGCTCACTGTACCTGGTGAGAGACGCATCAGGCCACCAATTCTTCAGCTGTCCGTGATAACAATACATGCGTGTTTCAGCAAGGCTGCTTCGCAACTGCGCAAATTGACAGTGCTAACCTCGACACCTGCGTCTGTCATGGGCTCCTTCAGCTTCAAACACGGAGGCGACAGTGCGTCAATGGCACACTTGGGCGGCATGAGCGGCGCGGGTGGCAAAGCAACACCTGCAATATTCGAACCGGTTTGGGCCAGGGTGTCTACACTTCTAGCTGCCACACATGCCACGCTTGCCAGCCCTGGCACGCATATGGAGCCTCGCTGAAGGACCAATCCCTGCGCATCCACTTGCTCCCTGCTCACCCCCTCTGGCGTCGAGACAGGGCAGCGCCGGCCGCGTTTCCCGACCTTGGCACGCATCGGGGCTGCGCTGAGGGACCGCCCCCTGTGAACTCCCTCTGGCGTCGGCACAATGCCACATCTGCCACGCTTTCCGACACTGGCACGCATAGAGGCCGCGGTGATGGACCACCCCTTGCGCACCCCCTCTGCTGTCGAGAATGTGCTAAGCATGCCACGATCTCCGACCCTGGCACTAGAGGCAGCGCTGAGGGACCAACCCCTGCGCACCCCCTTCGGTGTCGAGTACGCTTGCCACGTTTTCCGACCCTGGCACGCATAGAGGCCGCGGTGATGGACCACCCCCTGCGCAACCCCTCCGGTGTCGAGTACGCCTGCCACGCTTTCCGACCTTGGCACGCAGAGAGGCCGCGGTGAGAGACCACACGATGCGCACTCCCTCCCGGGTCGAGAAAGTGCTACGCCTGCCACGCTCTCCGACCCTGGCACGCACAGAGGCCACGGTGAGAGACAACCCTCTGCGCACCCCCTCTGGTGTCGAAAAAATGCACAGCTGGCCTCGCTGTCCGACCCTGGCACGCATAGGGACCGCGGTGAGTGACCACCTCCTGCGCAACCCCTTTGGTGTCGAGTAAGTGCCACGCTGGCCACACTCTCCGACCCTGGCGCGCACAGGGGCCACGGTGAAAGACCACACGATGCGCACTCCCTCCGATATCGAGAAAGTGCTACGCCTGCCACGCTCTCCGACCCTGGCTGAAAGACCACCACCTGCGCACCCCCTCTGGTGTCGAAAAAGTGCCACGCTGGCCACGCTCTCTGACCCTGGCACGCACAGGGACCGCGGTGAGTGACCACCCCTTGCGCATTCCCTCCGGGATCGAGAAAGTGTCACGCCTGCCACACTCTCCGACCCTGGCACGCACAGGGGCCGCGGAAAGAGACCACCCCGTGCGCACCCCCTCTGGTGTCAAGAACGTGCCACGCCTGCCACACATTCCGACCATGGCACGGATAGGGGCCGCAGAGAGAACCCCCCCCTGCGCACCCCCTCTGGCGTCGAGAAAGACCCACACCTGCCACGCTCTCCGACCCTGGCACGCATAGAGGCCGCGGAGAGAAACAACTCCGTGCGCACCCCCTCTGGTGTCGAGAAAGTGCCACGCCTGCCACGGTCGTGATCTCTAAGTTGATGTGTGTTCATGTAGGTACCTAGTATGAGATGCTGGCGTCTGGGATGCATGATGCAATCAACACGCCAGGTCTGCACTAGCGTCGTATGGTGTGTAGTGTGTGTGTGTGTGTGTGCGCGGCAGTAGATTTGTGAATGTATGATGTGTTGTGTGTATCTATGCTGTATGTGTGCTGCGTGCATGTGCTGCGCACGAGCGCAAGTGAGAAGGGGAAAGAGCAGGAGGAGGTGAGGAATCAATGAGTGAGTGAGGTTCGCGGGTGCGGCGCCGGTGGAAGGAAACGATCACCCAACTTAAGCAGATGGGGAGTAGCATGCTGAAGAAACTCTCTGCTCTGTCTCTCGCAAACCATCTCATCTTTCCGCACGCCTGGCGCGCGTGGCGGTCTGGAACTCGCGCAGCACGCTCACCTGAGCAGTGGGTCTCAAGCTGCACGTGTCGGCTTGGATCAAAGGCAGACAACAGCGCACAGCTGGAGCACGACCTGTGACCGTCAGGCAATGCCATGGGGGGGTCGCGCAAAAGGGGGGTGCCAATTCCTCGAGAAGAAGACCTTTTCAGGACCGTTCAGGGCCGCCCCCTCACCGGCAGCTTCCCGACCCCCCCACTGTTTCAGACCAACTCCTGGCTCCATTACCTTCGCGCCTCGATCATCGCGGAAAGCTGGCGACCCCCGGTGGCACCCCCCCGTGGCACTGGACGCAACCTCCTCATCATCGCTCCCTCGCAAGCCTCCAACATGAGGCCAGACTAGATGGGGCCGGAGGGCCGACCCGCATCGGCGATGAATCAGTGTTGCACCAGCGACGCCAAGACGGAGAAAATCTGGCTACGAATCGCGACGCATCGTCGATGTATCGGCCAAATTGTGCGGTCGTCCGACACCATAAGCACATTTGGGCCCGAATTGGGTGGCCCGTGGATCCTCACTCGCCCCCTTTCCTTCTGTCCCCACGGCATTCAGCGACATCCAGCGTCGCGGAACAAACGTACGAGGTCGCGGCGAAATTGATGTCAATAGCGAGGGGACGCTGACAGCAGATTGACGCGTTCAAGTCGCCGACGCGCCGCGCAAAGCGACCGGCAAACTATGACAACTTGAACAGGAGAAGGCGGCCAGAGAGGAGGAAAAAAGGGTACCAGATTGCCGGGGTTGGAAACTGTACGACAAAAAGCACGGCGGCAATAACATGTAGATTGCGGGGCTTGTACTCGTCATCATACAATTCGGAAATCCGCCGATCCGGCATAAGAGCTTGGGGGGTGCCGGGTGGCTCTGCCAGGGAAAGGGAAGGGGGGGGGGGAGCTGGCCCCATTCTGGTTTGGAAAGGGTTTGGGGGGTGCCGGGGTGGCTCTGCCGGGGAAGGGGGAGGGGGGCTGCCCCCACTCAGGTTTGGAGGGGGGGGGGCTGCCGCCATTCAGGGGGCATTCAGGTTTGGAAGGGGGGGCGCTGGGGGGTGCCGGGGCGGACCTGCTGGGGAAGGGGGGGGAGGGGAGGGGTTGCCCCCATTCTGGTTGGAAAGAATTTGGGGGGTGCTGGGCTGGCTCTGCCGGGGAAGGGGGGGGGGGCTGCCCCCATTCAGGTTTGGAGGGGGGGGGGGCTGCCGCCATTCAGGTTTGGAGAGGGGGGCATTCAGGTTTGGAAGGGGGGGGCGTTGGGGGCGGCTCTGCCGGGGAAGGGGGAAGGGGTGGTCAACAAACTTGTTGCCTCGGCACAAAAGCCTCCAGGCTGTCAAGAGTGTCCTCATCCAAGGGGGTAAAGCCCTGCTTGGAAGGGCCGTGCCCTCTGAGACGCCCCCCCGCCTTCTTAAAGGCCAGCCCCCTCGCGCCACCCTTTTTGTGCACGCCGCCAACTGTAGAGTCCCCTTCCGCCCCCTCGAAGAAAACGAGTCGAGTCCAGAAGGAGCCTCCTGGGTCCCAGCAGGCTAGGCGGATGAGGACCCATGATCGGCGGCGAGCAAACTGGGGAGGCGCACGGGCTGGAGGCTCTGAGAACGAAGGAGGCTACGTTCGCAAATTTCGGCATGAAGGCGACAGGCCAGACGGGAACGAATGCTGGACCCCAGGCCGTGTTTTGAAGGTGCCGAGCGAGCCTATGGGTGGTCCCAGGGGGTGACAACTCTGAGACGCTGCCCGCGAAGCAGAACAGAAGCCACCATCAACGAGAAGACTGTCCCCGATGTTAGAAATAGGAGATACAGACAAACAAACGTAAACAACATCACATACGTACATGTTCGGAGGTCCGAACGGATTTCTTGGGCGACCCCCCTCCCTAACGCGCGGAACTCGCCGAGGGGGGGTAGACGCCGCGAAGGGAGCTATTCTTCTGCTTCGAATGGAACCCTGGTCGACCCCTGCATCGTAACCAGCCGCGTCCGAGCCGCCGACGCGAGACGCAACAGGAGCACTGGAAGGCAGACGAACCACCCTCATACTAAGAATCCCTGCAAGCGAATCCCATCAATGAGCGCGTGTGAAAAAGAAATTGAGCAGGACAGGCACGACTATGTCGTTGACGCCCACGACTGTTTAACTAGCCCAGTCAGGCCCCTGCCAGAAGGAACGCTAAATAAAGAACGAAGCCCCTGTTTTTTTCTATACCTAGGCTACTCGGTGTGCTTAAAGGGCCGGGCAGTGGAACGCGCCCCGGGCGGTTCCCCCAGCATCCGCTCCGCGGTTCCCCCAGTGACGTTCCCTTAGCTTAGCGTTGCTTATCTCATCTTAGCTTAGTTGATTTCATATTAGCTTAGCTTAGCTTCATCTTAGCTCAGGTTTATCTTAGCTTAGCTTACCTTCATCTTAGCTTCGCTGAGCTTTAGCATAGCAGAGCAGTTGATTCCCTACCTAGGCTCTGCCTGGAAAGGTTCTTACTCGCTAAGCTTAAGGGGCCGGGCAGTGTAAATCGCCCCGGGCGGTTCCCCCGGCATCCGCCCCGTGGTTCCCACAGTTACGGTACGCCCCCTGGGTTCACCCCGTTTAGCTTAGCTTAGTTTAGCTTAGCTTAGCTTATCTCATCTTAGCTTAGCTTAGCGTAGCTTTGCCTAGCCTAGCTTAACTTAGCTTAGCTTAACTTAGCTTAGCTTATCTCATCTTAGCTTAGCTTAGCTTGGCGTAGCTTAGCTTTAGCCTAGCTTAGCTTAGGTGTAGATGTAAGTGTAGCTGTCGGTGTAAATGTAGATGTTGCTTTCCTGAACGCCCCAACTCCTAGGTATGGTCGAACTGGGATACTTTTCTCATAATCAAACAATGAATATGCAAGGAACGGCCGAGCCCCTTCTTGGAAGCGTTCCCTCATCGTTGCCTCTCGTTTTGACAGAGCCCCCCCTTCTGCCGAGACCTAAGGAACGGATGCCCGCCGCACGCAACAGGAAAACAAACAAAGGCCACTGGTGAGCGCCGCGCAAGGAACGGCTGGGCATTTGTTCATGTAAAATACTGGACGCACGAGTGGGGAGAGAGAGAGCCCCGACGGCCCCCCTGGCCAACTTTGGACCTGCATCGATCGCAAGGAACCTCAAAACGCGTGCCGCAAGGAACGGCCCAAACGAACCCGCGGCACATTATCTTCGCAGCGGCGCAGGGAACCCAGTCCCTATTCGGGGCCCCGTTCCTTCGATCATCCGCCCCGTTCGGCGAATCGATTGCGCGCCATAACCCAAGGAACGCCGAGGGGGCTTCGTGGCGCAGTGGCGAGGGAACGCCAGCAGACCCAGGGAACCACCGAGCCCCTTCCGAACCCGAACTGGACCTTATTTCAGAGGCCTCACTGTAATTGCCAGCCGTGGAGGTTATAATGCATTCCTTCCTGGAAGCCCGCCTCGCGGTTTTCGGTGCATAACTCGGGCCTCTGGCGGCCATTCGTGACGATTCGGGCATCTCTGGTACGCTCTCGGCGGGGCGAGGCTGCTGGAACGCGCCACGAGGCGAGAAAGCCTCCATGAGCCGACGAACACGCGTGAAAAAACAGCTGGCGCGAGCAGAATGAGCACGCCTCGCCCGTCTAGAGCGGCCCCCTGATGGCTGCTGTGGAGATCATTCGTTTCCCCTAATGTTTCGGCGATAGCCCTGGTTATCGGATTGGGGGAAGGTGACGGACGATAATCTGACCTTTTCGCTTTGGGTAGCCCCACTTATGCCCGCCCGCACCAACACTGCGTACCCCCCTCGGACCTGCGCACCCGACAAGGTCAAGTTATCTTGGGGGACGGGGGGGGGAGGGTCCGATAACCCGGGCTATCGGCGGACCCTTACAACAACGGTTTCCTGGAGGCACAGCTCGGAGCACTGGTGCGTTAGGACCTTGGGGGGGACCGATTTTGAGCTGCCGTTGTCCCACTTCGCCCTGCTCCGAAAGGTGGCCCCAGCCTATCCAGGGAGGCCAAAACGGCCCAACCGTGGCGACGTGGGGCCTCCCCAGAAGGCCAACTACCGTGGTCCGAGCTCGCCCACCTCTGAGGCCTGGGGCCACGGCCACCCCCGGCAACACCCGAAACGAGAACCCGCCTCGCCTGCTCGAAGCGCCCGCCAGCGAACTCGAGCGGGCGCGGGAGCCGCGCGCGCTGCCCGGCGCCGAGGCCCGACAGCGCCGCCACGAGGTCCTCGGCCGACCGATCAACGGCGGCGGCC